CTCTTTCATATTTTATTTTTCACGATGTTATCAAAAGTGTGAGATACAGGACATCAAATATCTACATTAGTCAATATACTTGAAGCCATAGCAAAAATCTGACGTGAATTATTTGATTTTCATAGAGATCATTTTGAGAGCAAATAGTAGAATTGTGACATAACATATATTATCATTTCTTATTTCATCTTATTCATTTTGCGTATTTTATTTTTTTTTGAGAATTTATAAACATAATTGCATTAATTGATTCAACAACATTTGTAGATTTTCAATTTACACAGTCATCTGATTCGATATGAAGTTGTTGTATCTATGGGTTTTAATCATTGTCACGATTATAGACACTATCGCCGGTTTCAAGGCATTGGGCAGATCAAAAGGTAAAACTAAAAGGATAAAACATGTAATACTAATCTTTCACTATTCTAGGTCGGAAGTCATCAAATCATGTGAACGCATTGATTGTTGTTGACGTTCAAAATTGTTTTATTAATGGAAACCTTTCTTTGTCCAATAGTCCTGCTCATCAGGATGGTGCGGAAGTTATCTCTATTATCAATCATTTAATCAAGAAAGTTCCATTTCATGTTATTGTCTATACCCATGACTGACACCCATGGAATCATATCTCTTTTTTTGAAAACCTCGACTCGCGTAGAAAGTATTTAGAAGGTGATCAAAATCGAACAATACACGTATTTTAGGAAGTCACGTACGTGGGTCCAAAAGTCAAAACACAACAAATCCTATGGCCCTCACATTGCATATAAGGAACAGAAGATGCAGAGCTACATAAAAACCTTCATGTTGTATCAGGAAAGAATGTTATTCATATTAGAAAAGGCATCGATTCTGATATCGACAGTTACTCAGGATTTGCTGATAATAATCAAGCTAAGAAAACTGAGCTCGACATGAAACTTCGACAACGCAACGTTACACAAGTTTTTGTTGCCGGTTTGGCAACGGATTATTGCGTGTCGGCAATTGCTCTTGATGCATTTGATTTGAATTATACAGCATATCTTATCGAAGATGCTAGTAGAGGCGTCTCTTTAGACACAATCAAACGCCAACTGGACGATCTAAAACAGCGTGGAGTCAAAATTATCCAAGTAGATGAAGTTAAAGGATTGATTGACAAGTGCTAATGACAAATCTTTGAGTTTCTATTTATAACCTTTATCAATGTATTGATTTTACTTTTGAAATAAACTTTGTATTCAAGAAAACCAGCTTAGAAAGAGTAAAGCTTAGAAGGATCGCGCAAACTGATTATCACAAGTGTCGATGTACACAATGAAAAATGAATTTCCTTAAAGTTGAATAGTATTTTAGTGCAAATAGACTCTTCAAATCTGTCGCATAATTTTCTCTATGGTATATGAGTAAGTTTAAGTCGAACTGAAATTGAAAGTGACGTAGAATTTCTCCGTGGTGACTAAATAAATCAACGAAGCCGTTCTGGATGAGAACATGTAAGTGTAAATATGAAATGATAGTGAAGGTGAATTACACAAGAATCAGCATTATTCTGTTTTAGAGATATCATATTCTGTTCTTAAGGAAGGTGAACCCACTTGAGAATTCATTTCCATGCATTTTTGAGCAGGTGAAGATGTCTACATATATCTATTCTTTCATTATATGGCAAATTACTATGGGTTCCTGGTCCGAGAAACTTCAAATTAGGAGTGGTATTTTGACTGTAAAAATACTTTCATAAAGTAGTTAAAGTTAAAGTAGAAATTTTTTCACTAAAACAAAGGTTTTTTTAAGAAAAAAACAATTTTTTGTAAAGTTTGACCAAAGGTAATTGGAGCCGAGGAATCCAAATCTGAAATCGGTTTTTCGAAATTTTGAATCTGATTTTGTTACAAAAAAATTTATTTCTTGAAAGATCTTGCTGCCTTGTAAAGTATCACTATAAGATTATCGAAAATCTTATGTGACGTTAAGATTTTTCAAGAATTCCATCATATGATTTAGTATAAGCTTTCTGAGACTATGATTATAGTGAAATCAATCTTCTCAATATCTGTTCCGATGATGGTTGTCAGTTGGTAGAACTAAAAACAGATTTAAATAGAGAATCGAATAAGAGCTTATCGACTATCTATGGTACTAATTGTTGGTTTCTGAATAACTAAGAAACAAAAAAATCTTTCGATCTGTATTTTTCAGAAAAGAAAACGAGCAAAAGAAAGGCAAACGTACATTAATGTACAAGTAAACAATCAATCAAAAGCACAACAAAATTTTGTTAATTTTTGATTAACTTTAACAAAACTAGTTGAAATTCCCATATAGATATTATATGTCATGGATTTCATATTTTCTTTTCAACATCATTTGTTTTAAGAGTTGATCACCATTACTAAAAGCGAAAAATAATGGTTTGTTTTATCACATGATTGGCTGATGTTTTGTTTTCCATGGATGCGCCCATCTGTAATCAGCGTTTCCTTTTACAAGTTAGTCAAGAAACAATAATCTGAAACATTCACATTTATTATGACTTAGTGATGAATCAAAATTCTATGAAGGAGATGACGATTTCTAACCGATACACCTTCTGAGGTAGCGTGGATTTTTTCGAAGCCAATCAAGTCGTATGACTATGCACATACAGTTTTCCACATCTTTTTTATACAAAAATTTTACAAGTACATAAACAAATAATTTTAACTAAAATAAAAATATGAGTAATAAAATTCAGAGGTCCAGAAGACAATTATATTTAGAAAACTTATGAATAATAGAATCAAATTTATATCTAAATCTCGATAAGTATACATCGATTATAGTCAATTCATAAAGCTGTTTTCTGATCTTATTGTTCCTTTGTTATCTGAAAATACATGTAAATCTAAAACAATAGTTTAATCGAAATTAAACAAAAAATTTTACACATTTTACCAGTACGTGCTCAGAGTTTTTCGTATAATATATAGTGGAAATGCTGGACTTTGCTTAGAAAACATTCTTTTCAAGACAAATTTGAGGACTATATGTTTGATAACAAATTGACGCCTATTTTTAAATCGTAAAGTCGGATTCTAGCAGCTGTCTCAGTAACCTGAGATTCAGGAACTTGTCAAACTAGATAAAGACTAATGAAATGAAAGTATTTTGATTATAAGAAAATGATTGAAAGTCATGATAATCTGGTTGAACAATGAAAATTTTGAGATATTCTCAAATATATAAAATGCATTACGAATATTGCAATAATAATATTGGTCTCATTGTTTATAAGATGAGGGTGTGGGTGTGGGGTGTGGGTGAGGGTTTGGGTTTGGGTAGGTGCGGGTGTGGGTGTGTGTAAGTGATGAACAGAAGACCCGCACCCACACCTACACCCACACCTACATCCACACTCACGCCCCCACTTACTCACGCTCACACCCACACCCCACTCCCACCCATCCACACCCTCAAGTTTTATTTGTAAACACCATACAAAAAAAAATTCGACCAACACCCATACTTCCGTCTTTGACAAAATCATTAATCTTCGCTCTTTCGTTTTTTATTTTTTCCAATCCTTTTCTGGATAATCTGCCAAATTGTGTCTTCAGCTTTCAGTGTGAGCTTGAGCTCAGTCAATGTCTATTAGAAAAAGTGAAGATAGATGTAAGAGAGATCAAAAAGAATGAAAATTACTCTGTTGTTTTGTAATGAGTCAGCAAGATATGGCGCTCCCTCGTCACCGATCCGATTGCTTCGGAGGTCGAGTGTCTCCAATTAGAGCCCTGCAGGGTATAGGTAACCTGCCCTGACAGGGCAGGACAGGGCAGGTTACGCTCACAGCAGGGCAAGGCCAGGTTACGAAAATTTTTACAGGGCAGGTTGCAGGGTACGAGTATCGTAACCTGTCAACCTGTGACTAGTTTTATGTGTTAGATATTATAGATATCTTTTCTAAAGATATATACCAAGAAAAAAATAGAAGTGAAAGTGAACTGAAAAATCAATTTAGGTTAGTCGCAAAGATACTCAATAGAAGCACATATGTTGGTAACCTATCCATTATACATTGTGTAGCTACTCAAGTGTGCATTTAGTTTTCTTATTTTGAGTTTTATCTTGCTCTTTTCTTTATTATCGTCATTAACTAATCTCTCGAATATCATCATCAATATCAGTTAGATTTTCCTGCTAGTGAAATATCAACTATGTCTAATTCAAAAAAAGATATGGAACGAAAAAAGAAGCAGATGATAGAAAAACTTAAAACTGGTGAATTTATAGCTACAGTAGAACCACCATCATCATCTTATGGTTCATTTTTGGAACATTTATTACATATTAAATGTGTCAATAATGAATATCAACTGTTCGTACAACGTCGATTGTTCCATGAGATATTATCATATTCCATATCAAATGGAACTTCTATTATTAGCTATCATTTTAAAAATTGTTTAGATGAATCAAATACACTAAAAAACAACAAATCTCTTAGTATGGTGTGGATGTGCGAAGAGAAGATTCATACCCCACACCACACCCACATCAGAGCATGTTTTTAGCTCATCAGGTCGAGTATTAGAAAAAAGAAGGCAGTTTTTAAAGCTAGATATTGTTGATGATATTCTGATGATTAGAAATTTTCGAGATATATAATGTTGTTTGGTTTTGCTATATGGTTGTAACAAATCAAAAGGAAATTTAATAATAAATTGATAAGAAAGTTTGAAATTTTCTTCGGTTTTAAAGAAAACAGGGCAGGGCACGTTAAAGGTTATGAAATAAATTCACAGGGCATGGCAGGGCAGGATACGCGAAAAAGTTTGCAGGGCAGGACAGGGTCAGGTTATCAAAATCTCAGCAGGGCAGGTTACAGGTTGTCAAAATAGCGTAACATGCAGCCCTCTATCTCCAATACTTGTTGAAAATAGTGAAAATAAATATCAGAGAAATGAAAAGACAATAAAAATTACAGTGTTCTTTCGCAATGCACCAGCGAAATGTTTTGCTTCTGATATCTCGATTCAATTTTCTTCAAGTTCAAGTGTAGTCAATATCTGTATGAAATAATAAATATGAATATTTGGTGAAAGACATTAAGAGCAAACGAGGGTCACCTTGTTATTTTTTAATGCAACAGCGAGATATTGTGCTCCTGATATTCCGATTTGATTATTAAATAAGTTGAGTGTAGTTAATATCTATCAGAAAAATACAAATAGATGCGAAAGTGTTGAAGTATAGGATCACCTTGTTGTTATGTAATGCGTCAGATATATATTGTGCTCCAAGGTCTCCAATTTGATTGTCTCCGATTTTGAGAGCGGTCAGTGTCTGTGTAAAAAAGAAACAACAAATACGAGAGATACTCATAGACAATGGAAAGTCACCTCATTGTTTCGTAATAAATTTGCGAGATATTGTGCTCCTAATGCTCCAATGTCATTGCATGAAAGGTCAAGTGTCATTAATTTCTATAAGGATAAAAAACAGATATAAGAAAGCTGAAAAGTGAATGAAAATCACCGTGCTCGTGTTGTTTTGTAATGCATGAGCTAAACATTGTGCTCCTGATACTCCAATTTGATTGGATCTAAGGTTGAGAGTAGTCAATGTCTGTTAGCAAAAGTAAAGCTAGATATGAGAGACATGAAAAGAGCATAGAAAGTTACCGTATTGTTTCGCAATAGATCAGCAATATGTTGTGCTCCTAATACTCTCATCTGATTATCAGAAAGAATGAGCGTGGTTAATGTCTATCAGAAAAAGTAAAGATGAACATGAGAGAGAAGAAAAAAAGACTGAAGATTACCGTGTTATTTCGCAGTGCATTAACAAGATGTCGAGTGCCTGTTGCTCCAATATGATTGCATCTGAGATGAAATGTGGTTATTGTCTGATAGAAAATATAGAAATGAATATGAGAGAAATGAAGCGAATGAGAATCACCTTGTGGTTTCGTAATGCATTGGCCAAATGTTGTGCTCCTAAAGGTCCGACTTGATTGAAATTGAGGTTCACAGTAGTAAATATCTATGTGAAAAATAAAGATCGATATAGGAGAGTTGAATAAAAAAATGAGGTTTACCGTGTTGTTTTGCAATGCATGAGCAAGATGTTGTACTTCTCTATCCCCAATTTGTTCATGTGCAAGTTGCAATGTCTATGATATGTAAAAGATGTCAAAAAATCCTATTTTAATCAGATATTAATCAGTTGCTAAGGACTTTATCAATGAATTGTTAGTTATCTTGCTATAAACTAATCTTAATTTTGGCTAAAATAAAACCATGTCTTTTCGAAAATTTCAGCATAAAATCTAAATTTTTGCTAATTTTATCCCTTTTTGTAGAGTCTTAAACGATAGCTGCTACAGCATTAAGCTAGTATTGACAAACTTGAAACCTGGATTCAACTTGCCGATGTGGGTGTGGATGTATCTTTGCAGAGAAGACGCATACCCAAATTGACACCCTCGACACTTGCGAATGGTTCATCGAAATAACCAATGTTTTTTTTTCGAAGATTGAGTGTGAATGTTTGAAGACTGTAAACGTTGCTGCGTATTCAGAAAAGAGTCTAGACGGGGTTGAAAGCTAATTCAGATAAAGGTGTTACTGAAAATAGTAATTGCCATTCTATCTTGTTAAAGAGAATTTTATATTGTAGTGGGCTAAGGAAGGTTATGCTAATTTTTTAGGAACTGGTTCTCTTTCTATTTTATATAAAATAAATATATGATTATATAACAAGATATTAAAATATATTATGAATTATAATTATAAGGTGTTCATTTAACTATAACTATGTTTTTTTTTCTTTTTTCTTTTCTTTACTTCAATGATAGTGGTACGGACGAAGAATCACTGGTGTCGTTTCTTATCAGTATTACTGTCTTGTCACTTCAATACTTTTATCATCAAAGTAAAGAAAAGAGAAAAACAACATTCTAAACAAGGTCAATTCTGACCGAAACATCAACATTTATTCAGCATTGGATATAATTTATTTTATTCTATTTTTAATCTATTTATATAACTTACAATGTATTTTACCATATTTGTTATACAATTATACATTTATTTTTTAATCAAATAAATTAATTTGTATAGGAAGAGAATCAGTATCTTTAAAAAATTGGAGAATTTTATGTATACCTGTATTGTATTGAGGTCAGTCATGTTATTTGTTTGAAATCGAGTCAAGATATGGATATTATCCATCGAGGATACTTCATATCTAATTACAATCGCATTATTAGTTGCACGGAATAATGTTGTATAGAGGGTGATTTCTGATGTGCTCATAATATGGTCACAAGTAACAAGCCAATGTTTTTCGTTTAGCCAGAATGGTGTTCGAAATGAATCAATGATTGAATTGATATTAGGAGAGTTATCGATGCTCTGAAAACAATACTTGAAGAAAAAATTCAAGTTATTCAATGAAGGCAGTGTTTGTTCAACTAAGTGCATCCAAAAAGAGCCATCGAAAATACGGTCCAGCATTGATCTCGACGAAGCGAGTTGGAGATATACAAGTGAAGGTGTAAGTGAAAGAAATGATTGAAGACATTGTGTCGGTAGTTGACAATTATTAATGGTCAAGGAGTTCAGTTGTCGGTGACACAGGCTGGAAGAAGATGATAAAATTGTATAATCAGTGTCATACATAGTGTAGCAGCTAATGACAAATGTTCGTAAGTGAAAACAACGACGGAGAACTTTCAAATAGTCACTATAGGTACAGTTGCTAATTGTTAAATAGCACAACATCCATTGAACGGGTAATGATAAATGTACATTCATGTAATTGACATAGTTCAAATTTAGGCTCCGAAGATTGAATTGAGCGATAACTGATGAGAGAAGAGTAATATTCCTTTTATTCTTTTTCTCGTCTTCATCGAAATCGATTGTAAGTGAGGTCAAAGAGCTTGAGGCGATAGTTTGTAAATAGTGTTGTAGGTCGGCTTCGTTTGGTTGGATAAGAGTCAATACTCTTAATTTAGTGCATTGACCAAGGCCGAGTCCACTGAAAAACAAATCGGCGTTGAAGCGATCATGGATCGTCAGTGTAGTAATATTTTTGGGTAGTATGAGACGAGAAATAAGTTTTAAATCTGATTTATCTATCGAACTGAAATCGAGCTTAAATTGATCATAGCTATTGGCAGCCCCATACAGTCTTTTGCAAACAGGACGAACGGAAAGAAGAATGGTTTTGACATTGAGATGATCGAAGATGAGATAAAGGATCTCGTTAGGTAGAGTAGAAAGAGACACACTAGACATCGATATATGTTGTTTCGCGTACGTAACAAAGTGAAAAATCAAAGAGAAAATATTTTGTTGTCAACACTATCAATGGAAATTTTCACTTTCGGTTGATTGTGCAAGATTGCAAGGAAGTAGTTCTGACTCATATATAAATATATGTATTATAGAGCGAACTCTATCGTTACAACCATCATTATATTTTTCTCTTTCTAATGTTTGTCTGTTATTGTTTTGATTGATTTTCATCAACCAGTAGGTAATTTGTGTGTATATATATATAAATAGTACACAGTCGGAGTTTGATGATTCATCGAATCCGTAGCAAGGAATGCATTCTGAAAGGAGTGCAGGGACACTTTTGAAAACAGACATTTTAGCATAACTAGTTTTTGGGCCCCAAATTACATTTCTGAGATCATCGTCAGTAGCTGGCGACAAGGATGCAATAGAGATTTATTTGAACCAATATAAACTTTTCATTGAAAATTAATTTTTTTTTGCATTCTCTTCTCTAGCATTGTGATAAGATATCTATGACGTTAAATAACGCCATCTATATATACGGGCCAGTTTTGGGACTAAACTATAATGTGTAATTCGAATGAAAATTATTTGTTTTGCAGTGAATACTGTCATACCTACACCCATATCCTAAAATAAATATTTGTTAAAGATTCATCAAACTATTGATTTTCCATTTACCAATCGGTTTTTTGTTGTTGTTGTAAGACAATCTATTCGATTTGATGAATTCTAGACTTTATTCGGTTCGTTGATCAATTCATACTAAATAATTAATGAATATTGTTGAATCGGATCATATTTGAAAACTTGATAAATTGAATCATTTATTGAAAATTTCTTTTATTCGAAATGTGATACTTTTAATCGATGAAGAGAATATTTCTGATGTTCAACTTTCTTTTTTTTTCGTTTTACAGTTTCGAAATTATTCTATTAGAAAACTTAAAAACAATTTGAAGATATCTCGTTAAAATGATCGATAGACATTGTTCAGATCATTCGAATTCGAACATATCGTCTAGTAATAGAACCAAAAGAGTTCGCTGAGAAATTGAGATGTAGGTTCTTCCTTCACTATCACATTTTAAAATCGATCAGATCATTTTCGAGTGGCAATGTAACTTTAGTGGAATGGAGAATGTCATTGTTCAATACTTTTCAAAAAAAAATAGTCAAATGAATATTCAGGAAGGATGTATAATATGAATCCATCTTTTCAAACATGGAAATTATTTCATTTTCAAAGAAGATTTTATTTCTCAATAAACGATTCAAACAGAAAACTTTCTTGTATTTCAGGGTGTGGGTGTATGGAATAAATATATGTTTAGACACAACTGTCCAATTATTTAATTGATTACAACAATTTAACTTTGACTATGTCCAAAAATCACGTTCTAATTCTAATATTGAATCATTCATTGTTTCATCTATTATAGGATATTGTTCTAAACCTGTTACATAACTATTTAATGCTGATAAAAAATCTGACTGACTTTCTTCTTCAATAGCGTGTAATATTAATGATTTTCAAGAAAGTATTTGACAAAAAAATTTCTCATATATCACCATAATTAGTCAATGAACGATAATATTTAGCTAATTCAAGCCAATGATCAATTTATTTATATAATTGAATTTCTTCTTTTAATGATTCATGAATTAATTCATTCTGCTCATTTGTTTGATTTAAACGAATAAAATATTCTAATGTTAATGTACTAATTGCTTCTAAATGACTAGCTATTGTTACTACACTAATATATTGAGCTGAAATTTTGTTTTTTTTTACGTTTAAATAGAGCAATATCAAGTAGAGAAGCAACAAATGATGGATAAGAATATTCCAGATTAAGATAGCAGCATAGCATCAAAGCCGTGTTAAATTGTTTTGACTAATTCGACATATTGTCTGAAAAATTCGTCACTTCTGTTCTTCTTTTTGAATAAGAGCTGAGATTTAAATGCATTAGATGCTTTTGCAGTACAAGATCGTTATTCGAAGTATGAAAGTTGTGATTTCAATCTTTCACATAAATTGTCTATCTGCCAAGGTGTTCATTTTATGCCATTAGAATGTTCTGTTGTCAAATCAGCAGTATGAATGAAATGAATTTAAAGATTTGAATTTTTACATACTTCTGTTACGACGTAAACCTCAAAAATTAGATATATTCAAGCATAGCCTCCAAAATAAGTAGTTATACCAATAATGGCTTGTTAATATGCATCATGTGCTCATTGATATCTCAGTGAGGTAGCTGAGCTAGTAGTGCTAATTAGAAGCTGTAACAAGATAATTTATATACACAGTTGCATTACTAATCATTACTAGCATACACATCTTATTCAATTGTTATAGCTCTTTTAAGCTCTAGCGATCATTTTGTAATAGTTAAATGGTTAGTCTTCATTTTCACATTTTGAATCATTAGAAATAGACCAGAGAGAATCATAATTATGCATTTTCTTGTGCATTAACTGTTAATTATGGTTGTTTTGAGAAAAGAAACTATCGATTGAATCCGATTTTTACAAGGATCTGTCGACTATACATGGAAAATTGTAAATAACGAGGAAAGTGGCGGAAAAGAATTGATGTGCCCTATGGAGATCGCAACGTATAACACGTTCTACAGAATTGAATAAAATCGAACGATCAATTTTTCATTTTGCTTCGATCTCTGATGTCCATTAAAACGTTTCAAGGTTTCGTAGGGAATCTATGAAACCTTTAAAAAAAAGTTTCTCTGCGCTCTTGAGAATCACTTTGAAGGTATCTTGAGTCTTACAAAATCTTAAAAAAGATCTGTATGGAGCCAATTTTTTTTTCTAGTATAGAGATAACTATAACAGGCTCTGTATCTCCGATTAGTGGATATGCTTCGTGAGAAGAGACGAGACTCTGTCACCAATAGTAGCAACATGAAGTACTAATGGAAAGTTATCTGAGCAGTAGAAAAATCCCTTAAGAAAGATTAATATCTCACTTGAATTTGTAGATCACTATTTATTCTCTTACTTGTTACCGATGGACATAGTTCTTGATTGAAACTCGGCATTGGATAACAAACAGGAAATGTATGACATCGAGAATGATGAATATATCTATGCTCAGCTTCGTAACAAACGTTGTTTGAGTATTCGTATGGAACTAGCTCAGAACAATCTACCTATTGATTGGCACAAATTACAATATCAAAAGTATACACTATTCGATGAACATGGGTCATACTACGATGTCCCACTGCAGAGTTAAGATTTTACTCCAACTATCAATACAAGTAATTCATTTTTCTGGAAAAAAAAGTAACCTGTAGGTCAAGCAAACTATGATGCGTGTCGATCTTGCTCAAGAGTCTGATCCAATGGTTTAGACTCTGTAACTATTCAGATGTATGACATGTTACAAGTCTAGTTGGGAATCTTCGCTCATTCTACAATGTTTGTCTCAACTCACTATGGAAATATAGGTACTCAACTTCGACTCAAACTGACGAATCCCTTTTTAAATCTAGCTTTATCAATGATTTGATAGTTTTTGTTTTCATTATGATGTTGATTCTTGTCATTTGTAAAAGTGTCGAGATGATGTATCGACCATGTTTGTGTTCAATTTCGGATATGCTATGTCGTGTAAGCATAATTTTTGCAGAATCTATTTTATTGTGAATATTGTTGATTGCTTTACTTGGCATGCATTTACGTCTGATGATACCCATAAGTGAACCTATAGGGTAAGACGAATAGAAGGTCTCACTGATGGAGAACTGAAAATAAATTTGTATTGAGATGTGTGATAGTGATCTGTAGTTGTCAGTACATCTTCATTCCACATTCTCAAAGTGCGGTAAGTAAACGATCGCAGGCATATTTAACGATATTTCTCACGTATATAATTCGATAAAAAAACAAATTATAAGTATCAATAAATTTTAATATAATAATCAAAGTTTTTCTTCAAATGAAGATAATTCAGAATCAATTAAAACTGGTAATGATTTCCATGTTATATTAAGACAGAAAACTGAATTATTCATTAGAATCTTTCAGTTGCCCATAAAATATTTTATTAATTGAACTTATCAATATAAACACTTCTTCATTATGATATTGATTGTTTTGTTTCCCATAAAATGAATGTATCAATATTTGAGGCAGAGATAGAAATACAATGAACATCACTGCTAAGCAAAAGTTCATTCATTTTTCATATGTATACTTATTCCTACTTAAAGAAGCAGAAAGAAACGAATATCGCCACGTCATTCATGACTATAATTTTTGTTCGGAAGCCGATTGATGAGAAATGTAGTAGAAATTCTCAATTAACATTAACTACTATTAATGATGATGAGATATTTCTTATTTATTTGTTAAAAGATTCCCTGTCTCAATCAATAATTGAACTAATCCGTTCAGTTTTTTGCTGATGAGTTAAATGTTCTAGAAAATTAAGAAAACCTTTCATTCATAACAAAATATCTTCGAAGAAAAATTGAAATAGAAATGGTCTCAGAGATCTCCTCACATTTGAAATAATTACTTGAGTTATAGATTTTTCAAAAAACAAGAATGTCGATATGAGATCTTTTCCTTACCTGCACTCTCCTCGTTGAATAAGTTTTTTGTTTCTTTATACAATTATGTTCACATGTATTCAACTTAATATTTTTCATGACAACGGAAACCAATTATTGAACAAAAAGAAAATTAGAATCCTTTTTTCTCTTTTAAATTATTTTATTGAGAAGTAGAAAGTAATCATAATTAGAATAAATCAAGTATCAATAAAGAATTATTTTTCATTGTATTGAATTACAACGATTTCAATGAAGGAACAAGAGGATCCATTTCATTAGTTTCTAATGCTGGCTCATCGTCTAAGTTATATATATCTTGTTTCCGTCTTGTATATGATTCAGAAGAGTTTGCTAATGTTCGAAGATATTCAGCTTCAGCTATTCCTGTCTGTTCTACTAGTAAACTAAAATGAGAATAATCATTTGAAAGTAATACTTGAGGTGAATCAAATTCGACCAATCTTCCATTACTAAGCACCTATAATAATAGATAAATGTTTACATTTCTAAAATAATATGCAAAAAAAAATTCCATACCATGATACGATCACTATCAATAACTGTACGCAAACGATGTGCAACTGTCAATACTGTACATTCTTTGAATTTATCACGAATAGCTCTTTGAATCAATTCATCCGTTCTAAACAATTTTTTTCTTCAAATATCTCATTTTTTTTTGTGTCTTACTCACACATTATCCACATTAGCAGTTGCTTCATCAATCACAAGAATTTTACTCTTTTTCAATATAGCTCTTGCTAAACATACCAGTTGTTTTTGACCAACACTTAAATTAGATCCACTTTCACTTACTAATGAATGAAGACCATTGAACATCATATCTGTTACTAATTTTTTCAATTGTACCTATATATTAACAAAATAAATTTATTTAATTAGTAACATAAACAGAAAAAAAAATGATTTGTCAAATAATGACGACAGACTTGTTCAAGTGCATTCCATATTTCAACATCTGAATAAAGACCAAATGGATCAAGATTACTTCTCATTGTACCAGTAAAAAGAATAGGATCTTGTGGAATAATTGAAATACGACGTCGAACATCATCTAATCCAATAGTTCCTATATCAATATTATCAATAATAATATGGCCATCAACAAGTGTACCCATTCGAAAAAGAGTTTGAATAAATGAACTTTTACCAGCACCTGTTCTTCCAACAATACCAATTTTTTCACCAGATTCAATTATTAATGAAATATGATGAAGAGCCAATGGTGAATGTAATTCTTTTGAATGAGACATGGAAACATTTTCAAAAATAATACGACCTTGTGATGGCCAGTTTGTTGGTAATCGATATTTAGATGTTAATTGATTAGGTGGTTCTTGATCAAGTGAACAATATTCAAGTATTCGTTCGACTGATGTCATTTGAGTTTCAACT